GTATAATTCTAATAACTTATTTTTCAAACTTTGGGAAGTTTTAAATAATTTTTTTCAAATTACAAAATAAATGTTTTCACAGTAGACAAGTTTTAAAATGCACATGTAAAAAGAATAAAGTTACCACTATATATTTATTCAAAATCGGTATCATGGTGAAAGCATTATTTGTGACCTGTTTTTTAAAACTTTATAATACAGCATACACATGTCATTAATAGTTCTTCAAAATATCAAAATGAATTTGACCAGTCACATATCTTTGGATACAATGGATACATTGGTTGACCCTGGGTTTTTACTATTACAAATAATAGTATAAGAAATATTTTTGAATATTAATTTCCTAAGCATTTTCTTAACATAAATTTAGACTTGACGCACACCTGCAAGTTACCCTTCAGAGATTTAATGATATACTTGTCCCAGTAGTGTAAGAGATTAGCAGTTTTAGTATAATTTAACTAACACTGAATCTTCAGTTTTTTTCCCAAATAGACAATAAGTATCTAATTTTAATTTTTTTGTTTTGATTTTAATTAGTTGAATTTTTTCAAGTCTTGTCATTGATATTTCTTATTTTATAAATTACTAATCTTTTTTCTCCTTTGTGTATTTATTTTATAGTTATAATTTTATTAGCTTTTTATCTTTACATACATTTACATGTTATTTTCTCAGTTTGTCATTTGTATTTATTGCTTAAAGTTGTTTTTTTTTTTTTTGAGATGGAGTTTCGCTCTTGTTACCCAGGCTGGAGTGCAATGGCGCGATCTCGGCTCACCGCAACCTCCGCCTCCTGGGTTCAGGCAATTCTCCTGCCTCAGCCTCCTGAGTAGCTGGGATTACAGGCACGCGCCACCATGCCCAGCTAATTTTTTGTATCTTTAGTAGAGACGGGGTTTCACCATGTTGACCAGGATGGTCTCGATCTATCGACCTCGTGATCCACCCGCCTCGGCCTCCCAAAGTGCTGGGATTACAGGCTTGAGCCACCGCGCCCGGCTGCTTAAAGTTTTTAACATGCAAATTTTTAAAGTGTATTCAGTAATAGCCTACATTTATGTAGTTTAATAGATTTCAGATTGTACTAAATTTTTAACACATGCAATTTTATTTAATCTTTAAACCACCTCTAGAATGCATATGATAATTATCCTTATTTCAGTGGAGAAACTGAGGCATAGAGAGGTTCAGTGTCTTTCCCAAGTTGCATACCAATTATTATGTGATAGAGCCTGGTATTTAAAATTAGACAATCTGATTCTGGAGTTCATTTTATTGAATATTTTATTTTTTTCTTTTTTCTTGAGGCATTTGCCGAGGAAGTCCTGACTCGCTCTAATACCGGACTTTTTTTTATTTTTCACACTGCTCTCTTTAACCCTTCACTTTCCTCTTTTCCACTCTCTTTTCCTTCTTTACCCTCTTTCCTTTCCTTTTCTCTTTCTTCGACTTCTGCATTCCCTTCATTTTATCTAAAATTGATGTTGTTATGGTATAGGCTAAGAATGAAAGGTAGTTCTTCAAATAGTTAACTAACTGTATGAAGTACTTTCTAAACAATCTAACACTTTGTCAACAATATGAATGCTAACTTTATAATATGAATAATAGATATACTTGGATGTGTATTTTATCACTCTATTATTATTGTGCTAATGCCATATAGTTTAAATGTTCTATAAAATTTTATTATCAGAGAGTGCAAATACTTTATCACAATATTTTTTCAATTTTTTTTTTACTATTAATGATCATACATTTGGCCATTAACCCTTTTCTTGCTTATCAGTTTTGATGAGTTAGTTGATTTTCTAGTTCTCCAAAGCAAGCAATAGTGGCGTTTTTGTGTTTTGTTTTTTGATATTATAAACTGATGAATTTTTAAATATGGCTGTGTTTTAATATCTTTATTGACACTCAAAGTTTCCATTTTTGGACAGTGGAAGCCCCTTCAAATTTTATCTAAATCATTTTGAATCAAACTCCAACGTCTTTTGTAATTTTCATGCTTTCAATGATCCAGACTCATTTTCTACTTAAATCAGGAATCAGTCATATCTTCAGGGATCCCTGATTAATGTTGTGATTAAATTCATGATCTGAGCATTAGGGGTGCTCATTGCTATTGCTCTAGTCATAATTTCAAGTATTTTTTCCTGCCAAAAAAATACAGAATGAGTTCATACTGATATTTTCATTCAAATGTGGGATTATACTTCTTGTCATATCTTATTCCATTTTAGATTTGATCTCTTCTTTAACACTAAAAATCTTTGTTTATTCACATAATTATTTTCTGTACACACACAGAACTGATAATAAGCTTGGGTGTGTTTGTTTTTTGTTTGTTTTTGGTTTTTGGTTTTAATTATTGTTATCTTCTGCATTTACTCCATTAGGACATGCAATAAAATTACTACATTTTAAAGTTATTTGAAACAGTTTCTCTTTGTATCATGTTTCCAACAACTCAATTCAAGGTTGTTTTTCTTTTAATTATTAGCAATTCCTTTTTATGCGTTACGTAATTTTGTTTCAAAACCGTTTTCATTTACATGGTATTAAAGTCAAACCTACAAAACAAAATGTATTAGAAAAGTGTAACTTCAATCCTGTCTCTACTATTCTGTATTTTAAGAAATCACAAAATGTTTTTTCTTCCATTTTTAAGTAAAGGATTTATATGTATATATGTCCTTTGACATTACATATATAGCTACTTTAAATGATTTATGTATATATATCCTTTAATATATATTTATATGTATATATGTATTCATATGTATATATGTATGTATATGTGATATAAAATACATATTTGTCCTTTCTCAATTAAATGTTGTGCCATATTATACAAAAATGTTTCCAATAGTTTTATTGTTTATTTTTACTTAATAATACATCCCAAGGATCACGTAAGAGCAGCAGCATAAAAATATATTTTTAATTACACACTAGCATAATACTTCATTATGTATTCATAGTTTAGTTTATTTTTTTTTATACCTGGTGTTTTCTTTTATTGAATCATACAAATTTGTTTGTATGATTTATTAGCTAAATAAATCTTTTAGCTAATTTGCTTTTGACAAAACAGATTTCAAAACATTTAGCAGCTTTTCATTTGTATGCAGCATTTAAAAAATCTGTAGCATATATTTGTAAAACAATACTCTTAAACAGATGTGTTTTAGAAGTTACCTGGTAATGATTTGATCTATATCATAGCTTATTTAAGAGAACAATTAGTTTAAAAGGACAGACTAGACATGTGCTTCTTTCAAAAAAGCATGATTTTTGATCATACGAATTCAAGTTCAGATCTAAAAAACAGAAAGCATCCTAAAGGGCATCATTTTATTTATTTATAATGCCGCTTCTTGAAATTATAGTGATCTACAATGTCAACAGTAAAGCAAATAATTTCAAACTACATATTTATGTATATTTAAACCCCTCTAGGATTCTGCACCATTTTTAAGTGTGGATTGAAATCAGGGCACTTCCAACACACAGCTCATGTTTCTAAGTGATTATTTTTAAAAGCAAACTTAGAGGCATTCTTTGTCCTCCACCCCCAACTTAAACAATTTTCAGCTACAGAGGAGAGCTGCTACCTCACTCCAGCAAAGAAAAATGTTACTGTAAATTCACTTTGCCCAGCCAATTTCTCAAGATCCTTTTTTATTTTATTTTATTTATTTTTTGTAAAGACGGGATGGTCACTATGTGGCCCAGTCTGGACTCGAACTCCTGGGCTCAAGATACTCCTGACTAAGCTTAGAGTATCTGGGACTACAGTCACCCACCACCACACCCTGATCTCACATGTCACTCCCAGCTAATTTTTATTTTTTTAACTTTTTGTAGAAACAGTGTCTCACTATGTTACCCATACTGGTCTCAAACCCCTGGCCTAAAACTAGCCTCCCGTCCTGGTCTCCCAAGGTGCTGGGATTATATGTGTGGGCCATATAATCTCATCCAGACCCTGACTATCAAGACCCTTTTTTAAAGCTCATGATTCATCAGTACACTTTTGTATTCTCTTTCTTTTCTTCCTTTTACAAAAACAAAACAAAACTGTACCCTTTAAGAAAGCAGAACATATAGGAGGGCATCCCTGCTGGCCTGTTCACCCTGCAAGGTTTCTCAAAAAGGCAGAGCCTGTTGCAGAACCTTCTCTGGTTAGCCATGCTGGGTGATGAGACACCTGTGCTTGGCCTCATGAAGCACAAAGGGGGACCCAGAACCCACTGTTTCCAGAGCACACACAGAAGGTTAAAAGGTAACAACAAACCACGAAGTGACTTTAAGCATGTAAAGAAACCAATGATTTAGTGTCTTAAACACATATTCTCACTTATAAGTGGAAACTAAATAATGTGTACATATGGACATAATAGACCTTGAAGACTAGGAAAGGTGGGAGGGTCGGGGGTGCTAGGAATAAGAAATTACTTAATGGGCACAATGAATACTATTCAGCTGATGGTAACAATGCAAGTCCAGACTTAATACTATGCAATATATACATGTGGCAAAACAGCACTTGTACCCCTAAATCAATACAAATTAAATTTTTTTTTTAAATCCCTGGTTTCTTTAAACTGTCTAATAATAGACAACCGTGTGAGACATAGTCTTTGAAAAAAATATAATGATAATTGGCCACACACCATTAATTTTTTTCTTTATATACACAGTCTTGACATGGTGTGATTTAGATTCTACCTTGGGCTAAGCTCTGAGGGCTACACTTAGCTGTCTGGGAATTGTAGTGCAAGCTTACTTTTCTTTTCTTTTCTGTTTTAATTAAATTATGTTAAGTATTCAGGAGGCTGAGAACACAAGAGTCCCTCTCCCCTATGATCCTCTATACTTAGGCTTAAAATTAAACAAGACCCTTTGCATTCAGCTAGTGCCAAAACAAAACCAAGCCCTAAACAGGTTGCCATAAACATGATGGCTTTGCTTAGCGTTCAATGTTTTTAAAAAAGCATGAACACTTCACGAATTTGAGTGCCATCCTAGCGCAGGAGGCATGCTGATCTTTTCTGTATTGCTCCTGTTTTAGTATACATGCCACAGAAGTGAACACTCATAGTTTATTTAACTAGTCCCCTATAGATGGACACTTGGGTACATAGTCTTCTACTATGACAAACAGTGCTGTAATGAACATCTTTGGGAATATGTCTTTTTGTACTTTTACAATGTATAATTGTGACAATTAATAGAAGCAAAATTGCTGAGCCAATGGGTCAATATACAAGCATATATTATATGCATATATAATTTTGCTAGCTATTACCCTATTTCTTGTATAATTTAATATATCCATTGCTACTCTACAAGAATGTGTATATCTTTGAAGTTTAATAAATAATGTGTTTGTCAACTTTTTGGATTTTGGCACTCTGGGAGGAATGTAATGGCATTTCAGTGTCATTTTTCAATGTTATTTTTCTTACTATAAGTGAAGTTGAATGTCTTTTCATAAGTTAAAGACTGTTTCTTTTTTTACTTTCTGTAAATCAATGTCTATATATATCTTGCCTATTTGTCTTGTTTCTCATGTTTTTGGTTCTTTTTAAAATTACTGACTCTTCTGGTGTGTTTTGCAAGTAAGTTACAGACTTTTTTGGTACTTGCAAAAATTATACATATAAAATATCATATATATTTACATCACACTATAAATTCATAATATATCACAGTATGATAGAACATATATATGTATTAAATAGGTTATGTCACATATAATTATAAGCATTTATATATATTTATTTATCTCAAGTTTTCACGCGCTGAATCTGAATTTTCCAGTCATTATTAGAAAAAGTATTCCCATTTCTAGATAATAAAAAAATTATTCCATATTTTATTTCAGTATATGGTAGTTTTTGTTTTTCACACTTAAATCTTTGACTCATTTTGAATTCTTTTTTGGAATATGGGATGAGGAATAGACCAATTTTCCTTTTTTATTTCGTTATTCATATATTCCATTACCATTCATCAAGAAGTTCATCTTTCCCCTACTAGTATGAAATGTTATGGTATTATAAATTCAATTTTTGTATGTAAGTAAGTCTATTACTAGTTCTGTTCACAGTGTTTTAATCAGAGAGATTTTAGCTATTTTTGCTTTTTGTTCTTGCAAATGTACTTTATAATTAACTTGTCTGGCTCCAGAAAATATATATATATAAATTTTTTTCCTTTTAATTTGGTCCCATGATATCTATATATTAACTTATAAATAATATATTTTAATGATGTTGAATGTTCCTTCCAGGAATATGTCATGACTTTGTGTTCATTCAACTCTGCTTCAGGAGTATTCTATAATTTTTCTCATATAAATTTTGCCTGTTTTAAACTTTTTAAATATTATTAGGGTCTTCTCTTTTTAATATATCATTCAGATTTATTTTTGAGTTAATTGTTGTCTGTTGCAAGGCAGTAGACCAACTTCATTCTTTTCCAATTGACATACAGTCATTTTAGTATCTTTAGTTGGAAAGACTATTCTTTACCCCACTCAATTGTCCTAGCACCCTTGACCAAAGTCAGTTGGCTCTAAATAAGAGTTTACTTCGAAACTCTCCATTTTATTATTTTGACCTGTGTGACTCTTATTATGCCAGTACACATTTACTACAACTGTGTAAATTTTTAAGTCAGGAAGTGGAGTCGTCTAACTCTGTTCTTCTTTTTCAAAATTGTTTGGGCTACTCTGGTTTGCTTGTATTTTCATAGCTGTTGCTTTTGAATATATAATTTGAAAACAACCAGTGTTTCAAATTCTAATGTTTGCTTTATTAGAATTTTTAATTGTTCCATTTGATTTCATCAAAGAATTAATTATGAACTTTCCCTCCTCTCTATTTCTTGTAACTCTACCTAATTTTTCCTTCTCTCATTTCCATTGCTAAAATTTGGATCAATGTTAAATACAGGTTGTGAGTGCGTGAATCCTTGTAGCATTCCTGACTTCGATGAGAATTATTTTAAAGGCTTACTGTTAATTTTGACATTGGTTATGAATTTTAGAAAACATAACAATTTAGCAAATTGTTTCTCATTAATTAAAACCTTGTAATCAGGAATGACTATGAGGATATGTCCTATTTCTGAGTCTTAATTTCCCTATCTATGAAACTAGGGAGTTGAAGCTAGATTGCATCAGTGTCCAGTCAAAGAAATGCTGGTTTTGAGGTTCAACACAAACCAGCTTCCCTAACTGGCTCTGGATATTGGTTCTGTTAATTCATATTTCCAAGTCTAAATTCCTCACTGATAAAAAATTTTGACTGGCCATACTTAACCTGCAGTGTTTTGGGGATTAAAGCTAATATAAGAAAAACAACTGGCATATAACAACCAAGACACAGCAGCTTTTACTCATTTCATGTCCTATAAGGTTTTTCCAGCTTTAAAATGCTAGAGTGCTCTCTCTGCATGTCTTTTTTCACAGCCTACACTCAAATATGTAAGAAAACTAACTGTCAAATAATTATGCCCTAACTTGGAGTGGAAGTTTAAACTTCAGATTGGTGAAAGGCAGACTGTATTATCCCCATTGGATCCTTCATAGTTTCATTATGGCAGACAGATATGCCACACAGCAATAAATGTAAGAAAACTAAACAATGAGACTGAGAGATTTTGTGTGCTATTCACATAACCCAACATCAAAATCAGTTGACTACTTGACACAGATTCAGAGAGATCTTAAGAGCTGGAAGGAACATCAGTGGACAATAAATTTCATCTCAGACACAAAGCATCACTATTCATTCTGGAAACTTTATTGTGCCATGTTTATCTTTTCATTTTTTACTCCCTCCCACCTATCCATCCCTTAAGATAATTAATAATCATTTACCATGAATGTAGTGACCTGTGTACATGTCCCATGTCTTTCACTAGACTGAGACATCCATGGGTCAAGCACCATGTGATATTCAAATAGTACTGGATTCCTGGTAAGTACAGAAGAATGAATAAATAGCTCTGCAGTTGAATGGATGAAAGAATAGATGAACCAATAATTAATTAGTTGGCTAATCAACCACCTTCCTGCTTTTTCTGTTCCATTTGCATTCACTAGCTTTAAGTGTAAAGGAAAAGATTAATACGCAATCATGTAAATAGGTATCTCAGGAATCACTTGTTTCCCAGCAAGACCTTGCTCTAATATAACTGATGTCATTTCTAAGCACCCCACTTATTAATTAAATAATCAGTTTAGCTAGGTCACTTTGATTATGCTATCTTGGAGAGGTATACAAAGATTGAATATATATATATATATATATGTATGTATATATATACATATATGTATGTTACACACATTTATATATGTTTATAAATACACATTTTTTAGTATAAATTATTTGTTTCCTGGAATTTGTAGGTTACTAATCCATCTTGAATAACTAGTTCATGGAAGGAACAGTGCAAGGGACTCTTTCAGTGTCACAGGAGAAAGAATCATTGGAGAACTACTGCTCATTTTCGCTTTTTCTTCCCCAGACACCTGAGTAGCCTCAAATCCCACCACATTTACTCGTAAGGCATGTTTGCCAGTGCATTTACAGAGGTTCTAATTAATTCTTTGTAATTGCATAGTGTTTTCTGCCTCCGTTTCTCACCACCGTCCCAGCCTTGGAAACAAGATGTTCCACCTCTGGAGGCTGCCCTGGTAAAAGCCTATTAATAAATAATTAAGTTTGGAGACTCCTGCAGTGGTGAGTCATGGCTGGATATCACGTGGAAGCTGTCTCCATGGCAACTCACCAACAGAACTGCACTGCTCTATTTCTTTTTGTATGTGTGGAGAGAGTGGAGGCAAAGATGTAGATTAAAACGAGATTTGTTTTACGGATGTTTCTTTTTAATTCTGTTTTGAAAAAAAAAAAATCTGCCACTGAATTTAGAATTCACGAAATGCTTTTTTTATGGCAAAAGAAATGTGACCTGCCACTGGATGCAAAACCTTCCAACACCTCTTTTCCTTATTCCAAGCTCATCTGCTCCTTCTTCTGGATCCGATACTGGCTCCACCCCAGCCCTACCTTACTGGGTGTACTATCCCTCACCACGAAATCATTGCCATGTAGTCATTACTGCACCACTGGATCCTGCAAATGCTTCTTCACTCACTTCTCTCCCTGTATCTATTCACTTGCTCTTCGGAGTAAACTAAAGTTGTATAGAATGCAAAGAACATGGATTTTGGAATAGGATGGGTCCCCAGCCTCTTCTCCTAACTAACTATGTGACTTAGGAGAGTTACTGGACCTCTCTCCATCTGTTTCCCTGCCCATAAAATGAAAATAATCATCCCTTTGCAGGATTGTAGTGAAATTACAGGAGACAGCATAAAGTAGGTGATAAAAACATAGTTTTTAAATCAGATTGTCTGGATTTCAATCTTCTCTTTGCCTTTTACCACTTGCTTTTTTAGGGCAAGCTACTTAATTTCTCTAAGTCTCAGTTCCTTATCTAAAAAGCTGATCAGACAATCACAGACAGATTTATTTGAAACATCAATTTACAGGAATGTATGTGAAAACCTTTGGCAAAGTGTGACCACTTAATATATGCCCATTACAGTTTATTAAAGGATGTAGCATTATAGTTGGTGTGTGACAAATGAAGCTATTTTTATAATGATGAGTTTATTGTGAGACAATGGTAACTTGATATAAAGGTCTGATAGGTGGGGGTCAGCAGCATGGGCACAAGAGAGCATAAATCATTAAGCCCTTCAGATAGAACCTTTGAATTTCTAACCAGATCTAAGCTCAGACTCCTTCTTTGCAGAATCATGACCCAGGTCAATCCTATCCCAGCACTGAGGTAATTTGTTCTGGATATTCTGCATTTTCCTCCCTCCTGTGGTCTGTTCTGCGGTCCAAGAGGCTGACACTTGCAGACTGTATCTCCTAAGCTTGCTTTCAGGTGGCTTCCAGATGTATAAAACCAGTAAGAGAAACCCAATGAGAAATACACAGTTGTTTAATAGGAGCACAGAGGACAAGGCCTGGAACACAGGAGATTCACTGAGCTCTCTGTTAGTACTTCAAA